CTGAGGTGGGATAACCTAGCCTACTCAGACACTGGGCTTGGTAATGTGGCCTGCTTTGGCCCATGGGATGTAGTAGACAAGATGCGAGCAGAGGTTTAAAATGGGCTTGCACATGGGGGCTTGCTTTCCTGCCCTCACTGTGGTTAGGAGACACCATGGTCAGGGGTCACCATGTGGGATCCATCTCTGTCATCATAAGGATATGCTCCAGCAGGCCCAAGTTAGAGCAGGACTGCTGGGTGAACCACAGACATATGAGTGCGGCCAGCCTAGATCAGCATGCCCCAGCCAGTCCACAGATGCGTCAGCTACAATACTAAATTATTGTTGTTTTAAAGCACTGAGTTTTGAGGTGGGTCAGTATTCAGCTACTGCTGATTGACAAAATAATATGTAAATACTCATTTCCAAATGTTTATCTTGCATCTGTCCATTGACTAAACAGGCATGAATTCTGATAAATGTTCAGTTGATGTTTTCTTTCTGGATAATTATACGACATACACTAAAGGTCACTCTGTCTCTTTCTTTCCTGTGGTTGTCCCTCATTTTTTTCTTGTTGCATTACATTGGCAAAAACTTCACAAACAACACCGAGGCTGTATTTATGTCTGTGTTTGTGCCGGCAGTGTGCTGCCGTTTGTGGATACAGGTGTACCTGTGGGACCCAGTGTCTCCAGTAGCCAGAGAACATCTCTCTGGACACAGTAGGGCAGCAGGGAGGTAGGGAAGCACTAGTGGCAGAAGTCAGGTGTGAACTGACATAAATGGACTTCAGGAGACAGTGTGCTCCTACTCACTGGAGACTGATGTAAACATGGTGGCAGTGGGTGGGAGAGGGGAAAGAAAAACAGGCTCATAAGGTGTTCCCTCAGTCTCAAGTCCATGGACACAAACTCAAGTGTCATCAACCCCTATCATCAGGTGCCCAGAGTATCTACTTGGCAGTTTTAGGTGAGGCTCAAATGCCCAGTACAGTCACACACATGCACACCGACCCACACATATACACACACACACCGAGACAGACCTCTGCACTGAGGCCCCTCAAGATTGGGGCATATATTTTGGGATCCTTGTTATGCAATATGAGCCTGCAGCTCCTGGAGGGGGTATGTGGAAAGAGTAACGGTGTAAGAGAATTTGGTCTCAGAATTTCCGGGTGTCTGGTATTGAATGGGACAGTCCAATAATCAGCTTCCTGGCTAGTAAATAATGCAAATAAAAATGCAAATAAAACCTGTGAGACATACATAGCCTTTTAAAACCACTATAGTTTCTGACTGGGTTTATCTTGTTTACAGCCTAATACTTAATCAACAATCGTTTGAACATACAAAGTGGGGAAAAAGTAGATTTATAGTTGTGAGTATGCAAAACACAATTTATTCTTGTATTATTATTTATTAATTATTGTATTATTTTTCCATATTAACAACTGTAAACCTCCTTTTGCCTCACCCTGTTTTGGCTTGGAATTCTCCCTACTCAGTATTTAATGATCTGTGAAAGAACACTGAGGAGATGTTGCAATCCCTTTGTAGAGGGAATGGGCTTGCCCTCTAAGAGACCTGTCTGCCAGCAAGATGTCCATGTGCTGGAAAACATGTGGCCTGATCAAATGTCTGTTAGAAGAGTACTGTGTTCATTTAGCAGAAATGTCTTATTATACTTCTTGAGGTGAAAGAGGTGGGGATACTGAGGGAATGCTCAATTAACAATGGGTAGCAATAAAAATACCACCAACAATAACAGCTCTTATTACCTGCTGGACTCTGTTCTAAGTGCATTTCATATGTTCACTCATTGAGTCCACACACTGACCTATGAGGAAGGTACCATCATCTTCCTGTAAAGATAAGGAAACTAAGGCATGGAGAGGTTATGTGAACCCAGGGAGTCTGGCTCTAATTCTCCTGTGTATTTAAAGAAGCAGGGGATTTGAAGTTCCAAGAGGAAGAGGGAGATTCTTGCAAGGTGACAGAAGGAACAGATGCAAAAGGTAAGACCCTGGGTTCCTCCCTGAAAAGGTGGCCATTAGGTATAGTTATAATCTTTAGTTATAGTATTTATAATATAGCTCTATTATTTAAATTATAAATAACAGCATATAACATAGTTGTGTAATTTAAATTCTATATATGTGTATATAGTTTATTTAGCTATTGTTATACATTATATTATTGTATTATGATTAGTATGTTATTTTATGTTTTGTATTAGTATATATGTATTATATTATTTAAATATTATAAATTATATGATTATAATAGAACTTAGTAGATATTATTATTATATTATTTCAATTGAAACAACAAATAAGTGTTTTCTAAGTGAAACTATTGGGGCCCCGCAAACTTTCAGTAAAGGTGGCACAAGTGGTTCTTGCCAGAATGGCTGGACTCTCAGGGCCAGTAGTGGAGGGGTCAAGTGTGAGAATTGCGTGCTATGGGAGAAAACAGAGCCTGCTGACCTGATGAGGGGCATCCTCGATATCTGCAAAACATGTCCACTGATGTGAGACCAGGACACCCATTCTGCCGGTGACACCCATTCTCAGAATGCAGACAAAGCACTCTACCATGACTTATGCATGCTACAGGGAAGGGGCCAATTTGCAAGGTTCTGAAAGGTGAATGGAATGTTGTGTGCATGGCAACAGGCCATGGCAGGTATGCTTGCAGTGAAAACACAATGCCTACTCTCCCTTCCTTTCTACTGTAATAGAACTCCCAAATTTTAGCTGTGCCCATAACCTCCAGATTAAGACTAAATTTTCCAGCTTTCCTTGCTGCAGATGAGACTATGACTAAGTTCTGGCCAATGGGACATGAGTGGACAAGATTGCAAATCCCAGCTCCTGACCTTGCAGGGAGGGAGGGAACGCATGGCCTCTTGCTGACTTTCTCTGAGCTGGCCTGGTACCCTGGTGAGTCATCTTGGATCAATACCCTAGGGCATGGAGGGCGAGAGAGGAGCCCAGGTGTCCCGCACTGGAGCTGCCAGATCAGCCTGGACTGCTTACTTTCAGAATGTTTAAATAGAGAAAAATAAACTACTTATGTAAGTGACAGTGTTAGGGAGTTCCTTTGTTATAGCAGCCTAACCTATACTCTGCCTGCTACAGTGCTCAATAAATGGTACTTTCCCCCTTGTGTGCCTTTGGGAAGGGGTATTGTGCAAGGTGGGGTACCAGAGTTTTAAAGCTCTGCAACTTTCCGGACTCCTCCCCTATTACAAACAATTGTGGGCACACTGGCTCACATCTCCATCTGCTTCTTGGCTGGTAGGCCAAGGCAAATACTCCTTTCCAGTGACAAAGGTGGTGGCATAGGAGTCTCCCAGAGGCAGGAGACAAGCTAGGTGCCTCAACAGAACTCCCAGTGTTCCCATGGGTCACACTGCAGTGGCATTGGCTGCAGCAGAAGACCAGAGGCCCTGCCTCCTCCCCAGGCCCTCCATCTGCCTGGAGGCAGGCTCACACCCTGGAAAGGGTCCTTGCTGCTGTTCAGTCACACATGCACTCTCACTCACCCTTCCCCACCATGCTGTGACCTGAGGACTTTCATCCCCATTCTCAGGGTGAAGAAGCTCAAATCTACATAGTTTAAGAAATTATGACCCATGGTGGGGGGGAGTGGGGATCAAGAGGCAGTCCCTTTCCCTCCACACCCTGCTCACTCAGCTGCGCTGCCAAAATGCATGACAAGGGTGAGAACATACATATCAGGCGAGGATTCTGGAACCAGACTGAGGATGATGACTTAGACAACCCCACCACACACAACCACCTGTGCCTTGGCCTGGACATAGGGTCAGCTGGAGGCTGCAGGCTCAGAGTAAGTGGGCTGCTGGGGAAATCCACTGAGATGAGCGGAGTGGGGTCCTGAGTCAGTGCCCCACACTGTGAACACATGTGTTCACAGGCTCTTTCAAAGTGACTGTTCTGACCTCTGGTGTCCCTCTGATCTGGGCTACATTGCTTGTTTATGGATGAAGAAAGGCTATGTTAATGCACCTGGAAATCACAGCCTCATTTCCCCAAGCATGTTTGGCCACAGAAAATATATTCAGTCGGGCAAAGGTCACAAGGTCGAGTCCTTTCCTCAGGACCAGAGCCAGTCTCCGAGGGTGCCACTGAGGACACTTGCCCGGACTTGTATCAGGTTCCTGGGTAGATGATCACCTCTGGAAGGTCCTCACCTCCCAATTCACACAATAGAAGAACTGTGGCCACTTTCCCTGCCCACCTCGCTAGCTCATAGCTTCTCCTTCCTCTCTGGTCCCCATGACCCCCAGCTCCCAGCCTGCTAGGATGTGCGGATGGGTCCAAACCCCAGCTGTGTAAGTGCTCAGAGAGACCTCAAGCATCTGGGGGAGTTTGGGAGACTTTGTATCCCCATAGCTCTGAGCAGCTGGGGAGGGTGAAGGTGGTGGCTGAACTCCTAATCCATTCACCACCTGGGGAGGGTGAAGGTGGTGGCTGAACTCCTAATCCATTCACCACCGCGCATGCAAGCAGGAAGTGATATGCCATTTCCTAGGGAAGTCCAGGAGGGGAAATGATTTGCCCCCCACCTCTGCACAGTACATATAGTGAGCACAATAAATGCCTGATGGACTGCACAGAGGGTAGAAAGTATCAAGTGCTGAACAAGGGTCTCCAACAGTAAATCAGAGGAGTAGTGACCCCTGTTGGCCTGGCTTGGCCTGCAGTGGCTTCCCATAAGTGACGCTGGGATAGGGGTTGGATTTGGGGTTGTGCAGAGGAGAGGGAACTGCTGGCCCTCTGGGATATTGGAATAAACAGAAACCCAACAGCCAGCCTGGAGGTGGGGCTGTGTGGGGACCCTGCACTGCTGGGCCAGGGGCTTGACCCCAAAGTTACCTTTGTATCCTTCTAGGTACAAACCTCAAGGTCCCCCAAGACTTGGCCCCCAGAATCGCCCCCACTTCCTGGCAGAGCAGAGGAAACCAGTGCATGAATATCATAAAGTTATTGAGTTCTTTTTTCTTTTTATTGGCAAAGTAAATATATTTTTATGAAGGACCAAAGAAAATATACATAATTGTAACATATGTACACCAGCTTTATAGATTTTTAAAATTTCAAATTTACACAAATGCTGATGTTATTAAAAGATATTTTATGTAGATGTACCTATGTACAGTTTATTTACATACATTCATAGGATGTGAAATAAACCTGTCAAACAAGCTAGTTCATTTGATATTAATTTCTAGACAAAATAAGGAATGCATTTCTAAATCAGGATTGGGGGCTCTATCTGCTTCTTCTACATGCTATGCAGCCTGTTCTGTTCCTGTCCTCCCAAAAGGTGACCCTGGAGGCTGGTGTCTGGAAACTGGACAAGGGGCTGAGCCACGCTGGGTACAGACAGTCCGGGGCCAGCCTACATCTGTCTGCCTGCCCTGCACATTTAACTGAAGCACATGCACATCAGCCCCCCAGAGAGGGGCTTTTTCACCCCAATCCCACAGCCATCAAGAGGCTAGGTCCTGCACCCCTAACAGCCTCGCCCATACCTTCTGGTAGTCAGGCTGAGTGAAGCATCTTGGACAAAGCCACCTGCACACCACAGTGCAGCCCAGGACTTTTGGCCTACTTCCTTCTTCCCAGTGTGGCTCCCTGTGGGAAGTGATATTTCAAAACTGCACATTTCATCTTCCCGGGCAATAAAGTGCTGGCCCTGGCCCTGGCCCAGGCAGGGAGCCCAGTGGGAGAAGGGCCAGGCCCCCAGACACTGCAGCAGAGGCCTGTAGCAGCGGCGCAGGAAGGCACAAAGGCACAAAGGCACGGAGGCCGGCCTCCAGGTTAGGAGCTGGGTCTCCCCAGGAAAGGCAGCAGGTGGGGGCTCTGGGTTCCTGTCTCCCAGGCTAGCCCCCTTCTTCCCATACCAACCCAGGCTGCTGGGTTGGTAACATTCTCACTTCCCTCTGAAGGAGGCAAATAAATTATTGCTACAAAATATATGGGTGATCTGGGCGATCTGATGGGTTGGGGATGGGGTGGGCCAGTGGCAGCGGTAATAGTTGGTGTGGGTGGCTGGGGGGGGTGTCAGTTGGCAGCACGTACGGAGCGGCTGCTCCGGGGGAAGCGGTGCACCTTGATGTGCTTGGACAGGTGGTCACTTCGCGCAAACTTCTTCTCACACACGGGACACTGGTAGGGCTTCACGCCAGAGTGCGAACGCCGGTGCCTTGACAGTTCATCTGAGCGGGAGAACCTACAGGGACACAGCAATGAGCGAGGCCAGGCTGGCCCGCCCTGTCCCCCTCACCACCTCCCACACACACCCAGGCCAGCAGTAGATTCCCAGGGCTCCAGCAGCTGGGGTGCTTCAGCTACCCAAGTGCTTCTGAATTCACGGGCGAAAATCCACTGTCCCAAACCCCCTCCCCATGTCCCTGTGGTCCCTCCAGGACAGCAAGAATTGCAAATAAAAGGCTCTACTAGCACAGCAGGCCATTCTCACACATCTGAGCCTGCGAGGGGCTGGTAAATATTGGGACAGGCTTTCAAGCCTACCAGAGACCTGACTTACTCTCCACCCCACCCCAAACACTGCCCCCCTCCAGCGTGCAGTGGGATCACCTTGCCCTACTGAGGCTGTGCCTCATGCTCTCACTTAGACGAGAACTCATGGCTTCTGTGGAGCTCTACACAGGGAAGCCCATCCAAAGGAGAAAGTAAGGCTGGAGAGAAGTGTCTCTTTCTCCAGCCCAGCAGGGAGTTCTTGGCTCCTTACTCTTGCTTCCATTAATATGCCCCACCCCATTCCTGGACCCTGTTTTCCTGAACACAGGGCCCCCAAGATGTCCCCAAACAAAACTGTATCTTTGTGAGGTACTCCCGAGAGTGTAAATGGTTCCCCCGCCACCTCCCTCCCTTGGCCCCAGCCTGCCCAGGAACAAGTGTTCCCACAGCCCACAGGCCACTGAGAAGGAGCAGCTGCTAATGGGAAAGGTAAGAAGCGAGCTGGACCACAGGGCTCATACAGCTACCATTGACTTCGGGGATTTGAGGCTCTCCTCACCCCTCAAAGCCCCACTCCCCACACATACATATCTCCTCTTCTCTGTTCCACCTATAGCGAGCTGTCCTTGTTTCCTCTTGCCACAGGACATTCGCTTATACTGTTCCCTTTACCCAGAATGCTTGTCCTTCCCTTCTTCTCCTTGCTCCCTCCCACCCATCCCTTAGAGCCCAGTTCAGACGTTACTTCCTCATGAAAGTCCTCCGGGACTACCTCATTCTAGGCTCCCACAGCACAGTGCACCTCTCTTCCCTGGCCTCTGCCACAGTTGTTGCAGTTTTAAATTAATTTCCTACTTTTTGATGAATGTCAGGCTGTGCCACCAGACCATCAGCTCCATGAGGAAAGATGAGTCTAACTGGTGCATGATAGGTGCCCAGTTAGTGCATTTGCATGAAAGAGTGGACGCAGCAGGCACCCGCAGGAGGATGGAAAGCTGTCACAGGGACAGTGCCCTCGAGTCCTAGTGCATCCATGCACCCACATGCACACGCGATCCACACACACTCACATGTATACACACATGCCACATGTGTGTGCCTGTCGTGGACATGGGCACACTGCAGACAAGTGTGCACACTCACACACTTATACATGTCACCCACTCCAACCTGTACACACGTATGTGCACATACACACATCACACACAGGGATGCATGTGTACCTACATGAACACATGCGCACACACAGGAATGCCAGACCCAACAAGCTCCATTCCTGGACCAGGGGCCACACAGCCAGAGGTAGGTTAGGTGATACTCCTGGAGAGGTAGGTTAGCTGTCCCCAACCCAGGTGTGACCCTGTGGGTTCAGACCTCAACCCCATAGCCTGCCAAGGAGCAGGGGGACCTAGCAGGTTAAGTCCTGGAGAAGGCTCAGGTGGGCAGCAGGAGGGCCTGAGCACAGATGGGGAGCCAGGCCCAGAGGCAGGGAAGATAAACACTTCAGCTTGGCTTGGCTGCCCCAAAGCCCAGGGCCCTGCCCCTAGAGCACAACGAGGTTTCTTCCACCCCCATTCCAGAGCACCAATTGTGGTGAGCAAAGAGCAGTGCTCTCAGCATATGTTCAGATTAAAGGAAGACCAACTGGCCCCTTTACCAGATGAGGAAACTGGTGCTCAGAGTGATGAGGGCTGATCCAGGGTCACAGGCAAGACAGAGCAGCCAAGGCCCTAGCAAAGGTCCTGAAACAGCTCCCTGCTGTATCCTGCCCACCTTGGTGGCCACAAAGGATCTGGCCACATCCACAGAGCCTGGCTGGAAGATATGTGCCACTGGAGCCCTGTGCCAGGGAAGAAGCAGCATCAATGCTCTGGCAGTCAGAGCCTGGACCTGTGCTTCTGGGCCAGGGCCACGTGCCCCAGCTGGAGTTGGACACAGAGCTTCTGAGCAGGTGGGCCTGCCTAAGGCAGGAGCCAGCAGAAAGCTACAGGAAATGCCATCAACAGTGCCAGAGCCTTCATGGACACCACGTACTGGGAGTCTGCACCTTTCAGGGAGCCCCATCAGATTGACGATACCACAGTAAGAGCTCAAAGAGGACAAGAGGCTTGCCGGGGTCACATAGCAGTGGAACAGCAGGATCTGCTCAGGTCCGCACCTGACCATGAACCCCGCGTGGTCCTGAGCAAACTTAAGAAACATCCTGGGTCTCAGTTTTCTCATTCATCCAAAGAAAATCTTAGGATTCTTGTCCACCTTCTGGAACTTTCCTCAGAGGCCAAAGGTGGTGACACAGGACCACAGGGTCCCTGTCATCATGGGGGCAACCAAGGGAAAGCCAGGCCTGAGAAGAAGCTGTCCCCACCTACAAGCCCCCTCTCTGCTGCCTCAGGGTCCTGTGATTTGAGGGGTCCCATCCCTGGAAACTGAACCCTCAGAAGATCCCTGCCTCACACCCTCACCCACATTGTCCCAAAGAGCAGCATTGGAGATACCTGGGGGCCACACAGAAGGAGGAGCCAGGTAGCTAAGATGCAGCCTTTGTAGGCTCATACTGACCAGCAGCATGGGCAAGCTGGCAAGCTCTCTGAGGTTGTTTCCTCACCTGAAGCCGGGCGAGTGACAGATCTGCCTCAGAGGACTATAAAAGGTGACAACTGTTTACAGCAGTGCTTGGCACATGGCAGGCATCCAACAATTGTGAACTCTTATTACCAGCAAGGAGCTTAGCACAGGGCCCAGCCTCTGGTGAGGTCCTTGAGGGTGTGGGTGGTTACTGTGATTCGCGTTGCTGAGGTGCAGGACAGGGAAGCACAGAGGTCCAGGTGACTCTCCTGAGCAGCCTGTAACATCAGCACCACCACCGGTACACATAGCACCACTGTCAAAGGCACCCCTTCCATCAGCCAGAAAGCCATGATTGAAAAGTCAAGTCTCAAGGATTCCAATGGGTATGGCACCCCCAAGAGTTGTGCAGTGCACACCCTGCCCAACAACACTTGGCAGCTCTGCTGACTGCAGGGATGGGGTCAGAGAATGCCCCACCGCGTAGAGGCAGCAGTGACACGGGCCAAGAGAGGCCAGTACCCAGACCACTGGGCTTGAATCCTGTCCCTGCCACCTCCTGACTCTGTGGCCTCAGGACTGCAACTCCCCTTTTTTGGGCCTCCTGGGTCTGCTGGGGATGACAACAGTACCTGCCACACAGGGCTGGTGAAAGTTATTAATATTCCTATGAGCTGTAGCAGGAAGGGATTCTTTCTGGACAGAACTGCTTGGCCATTCTGGAACAGGATGTTCTGCTGAGGGAACAAAGAAGGCCTGTGTCTGAGAGTGAAGCAAGGAAACTTCTAGGAAGGCAGGCAAGCAGCCACTTCCCAGATGGTTAGCTTGGAATAGGGAAGGTCTGGTTTCAGCTCTGACAAGGGTGCCAGAACCATGTCACAAGAGGGAAAGAGCCAGGGAACACAGGGTTCAGGACCAAGAGCAGAAGGAAGCAGGGGTTGGTTACCTGGGCAAGTGACAATGGGGGCGTGGAGTACAGGGAGGGACACTGTTCATCACAAAAAGGTTCACAGGGTGGGGCATAGGACACAGTGTCAGGGCCAGAACTGGCCTGGTAGGAGGAAGAGGGATCTGTTCACCAGGCCGAGCAGGAAGAAGAGAAGCAGACTTGGGAGTGGGGAGCTCCTCACATGGGGAGGCAAGCAAGAGTGCAGGGGTGCCACTCTGAAGACCAGCTGCCGGTGGAAGTCCTCTCAACACTCTAGCAGGCTGCATCCCACTGGAGGCTTGCAGAAGGGACTGGAGAGAGGTCCTCAGTCTGGGGGTGGGAGGTTAGGGGCAGACAGCCTAAGGTGAACTCCTGGTTCTGCCACTTACTAGTTGTGTGACCATGGAGAACTTACTTAAATGCTCTGTTCCTCATTTCCTCCTTTGTAAAGTGGGGACAACATACTGACACATACCTCATGGACTTGTTTGGAGCATTACATGAGTTACTGCGTTTGGTGCATTCAGAGCAGTGCTTGAGGCACATCAGGAACTACTGTTATCGCTGCCACTGTTGCCAGATCTTTTCCCTCACCCATGGTATGACACCTGAAAGAGCTGATGGCCTTGTGGGGGAGAGAGGACACCCAACCATTATAATACCAAGTACACAGGAAGAAAAGAGGAGGGGGAAACCAGCCCATGGCTGCAGGTGGGAGAGGCATGCCTGTCATACTGCGTGCAGGTCAGGGTGGGGCTGAGGCATTGCCTGGGGGTGCACCCAGAGCCATACTCACTAGCTCTGTCTCTGTAGGCTTTCTGGGCCTCCATTTCCCCCTCTGTAAAACACAGATTGGTGCCTATATGTTCCAAAGCTATTATGAGGACTCTGTGAACTAATGCTTGTGATGTGTGCAGAACAAAGCAGAGACCATCATAAGACCAACTACAGCTACCACTGGGGAAAAAGCATTGGAGAAATAGGGCACAGAGAGGGCTGAGGTCCAAGGGGAAGGCTGCCCTGCAAAGGGGAGGTGGAGGTCAGCAAGCAGATTATTCAGGTCTGTGGGCCAGAATGAGAAGTTTGGGTGGAGCTTAAGTGTACCAAAGTAGACATAAAGGTCAGAGTAGCCTTGTGAGGTAAAGAGCTCCTCATGGCAGGAGGCATACAAGCAAGTGTACCTCATGAGAACAATTGAATAGTGCCTAGCACAGTGTAAGTGGTCAATAAACAAGATACCTCATCATCACCACGTCTCCTGTCTTGTACAGACCAAGCTGCCACAAAGTGGGGTCTGTCCTCCTGCCCAACTGCTGCAAGGGCTCCTTCTATCCTTGACCCTTCGTTGAAGGTTATGGCCACATTTAAAGGACATGCATGTCTTGTGTGCAACCCCAGGGTGTCAGGCTTTCTGAAAGCTAACTGGGGACTCTCAAATCCTTAGAGAAACAGCCCTCCTGAAAGGTAGGCATGCCAGGCTCCCAGTGCCTCTGCCATGTGTGACCCCACCAAGACCAGACCCCACTCTGGCGGAGCTTGGGAAAGCTGGGGGTGCCCTTTGAAGTGCTAGGAGTGGCTGGAGGCAAGGATGGCTCCAGAGTCTACTCCATGGGGAATTCACCATGCCATTTCAAGTGAATCCTGAGCAAAATGACCAATGTCAAGACTTAAACGGCGTGGCTCAGCGGTTGAGCATCAACCTAGGATCCAGGAGATTGTGGTTCAATTCCTGGTCAGGGCACATGCCCGGGTTGCAGGCTCGATCTCCAGTCAGGGCCGTGCAGGAGGCAGCCGATCAATGACTCTCTCTCATCATTAATGTTTCTATCTCTCTCTCCCTCTCCCTTCCTCTTTCTGAAATCAATAAAGATATATTTTTTAAAAAACTTACCCAGTGGCAGAGCTGAATTCCCTCCATAAATCCCATTCTTGTTTGCACACTTCCTGTCATGGGGAACTCACTACCTCATAAGGCCACTGTGTCGGGAGCTGAGACCTCCCTCCCTAAGATGCACTTTGGGCTGAGGGGCCTGTCCGCTTTCTGAGACAGCCTGGAAGAAGTCGGGTCCCCTCCTCCTAGGGAAGTAGGCCAATTGGGCAGCCTTGACCAAGGACCACACCCTTCCTTTCTGTGGTCCCACCCAGCCCTATCCCAAATGGATGGGCCATTTGGCAACAGTCAGTAGCAGCCAGGGGACAGTGCTGAGGAAGACGAGTCCATCATGAGAGTCGGACCAGTGCTCTGCCAAGCAAATGCCCAACCTCTCTCCAGCCCTGCTCCCTACCAACAGGAGACTGCATCCAAGAGGAATCCCTGTAAGTCTGGGGGTGCCTCTGAGATGGGGTACTGCCCACATGAAGGCCAGGCAGAAAACCTTCCCTTCTCAGACTCTGATCTTGAATGAGAGTGACATTATCACTGATGAGAAGGGGGCACTGCTGAGCACCCCAGCACCTCTGGCCCTGGTAGGGAGAGGTTGTGAGTAGGCCCTCCACTTTACAGATGAGGAAACTGAGGCTTGGGAAGGGGGACCATCCCAAGGGCACATAGTGAGCTGGAGGCTGACCACGACCCCAGGACTGGGGCTTTCAACCACTGCCACCAGCTGCCCCCCACTCACAGAGTCTCAGTGCCTTTCCCTTCTGCAGTTGAGCACCTGCCTCTAAAGCCCCATGTCTCTGGCCTCCTCCCCACCCCAAGCTCTGACCACCCAACATTACACACATGCCGCCGTATCACGCCTCACAAACTGCTCTGCAAATGTGCCTGTTACCCGAGACCTACTTGGTGGACTGTGGCATGAGTCTCAGAGAGGCATGTGGCACCAGCACTGCCACCCAATGCTGTGGGGCTGAAGTGCAGGCTCTCACAGAAGGCAGCCCTGTGGGTCTGCTGATTGGCACCTTTGGGACATTAGGGGTGGGGGTGCCCGCACTGAGGAAGGGCCCCCATAACCCAAAATGCTGTTTGGGACAAGTCCCTTCCCTGGTCAGCTCTACGCTCCCATGGAAAGGGGCTGCCAGCATCACATCAAACGTTTCAGTCACAGCTCCTGTCCTGGGCCAGCCAGGACTCCAGGAGTGGCACCTCACACCCTGGGACCAACTCTCAGGAGTTCTCAAACAAAAGTCTGGCCATATAAACAAAAGCTGCAAACTGCTCCCTGTGAGCCACACCAACATGGATACACAAGCATAGAAAAGGTGCACAAACACATATGGCCATGCAATACAGAGACACACATGAAAAAAGCAAAATGCATACACAAGCAAGATGCATGTGCACACACAGTTACAGTGACTTGCAAGAACCAATTCTGCACACAGATGAGGCATGCCACATGGCTCTCTCACACATTCATACATGTAGCAACAGCCACAGCAGCAAAGCCCAGGAATGTGCCAGTAGCACAAGCCACCCTCCCAGGCAGGCCAGAGAGTCCAGCAGGGTGGGCATCCTAAACTGGGGAAAGCCCAGCTGTGGCACACTAAGCATCTGAGCTCCTGGCTGAGCTCCTGGCCAGCTGCCTGCTTTTCAGGAAAAGGTGGACATGCCTCCCAAAGGTGAGCCAGCACCTGGGGCCCAGGGGAGGGAGTCCATCCAGCAAGGCTGCCTGAGGGCTGGGTAACTCTGAAAGAGCCCTGTCCTTTGAGAGTTGGTTTCCCCCACTGTGCCAGGCAAAGTAGAGCCTGGAAGTAGTCTTCTACCTTTGGGTAAGCACACCCAGCTGGGTCCTCCCTTGTGGTTGGCCTTTGTGGCTTCTCTAACACACCTCTAGGTCTCCTAGGGGAACAAGGGCCTGGCCCAGCCCATGTGCCCAGGGACTTCTGTAAGAGAAGTTGGTCCCTTTGGATGAGAAACAGCATTTTCAGGATGTGAGCGCTCTGATACAACCCGTTAGGTTCAAGTCCCATTTACGAAGCTGTGTGACCTTGGGCAAGTTACTTAGCCAGTCTGAGCCTCAGTTTGCTCAGCAGTGAGATGGGAGTAAGGGTGATACTTACCCTTTGGGGTGCTGTGAGGCAGAGGGAGCAGTGCACATACAGTTGAAGCCCCATCTGGCACAGCCCATGCCCCATCATTCTCAACTGTCTTTGATATGACTATGAGAGTCTTTCTGCCCTGGCTCAGCCCCTCACTCTCAGCACAAGTTCCAGCAAGCCTTATCAGACCAGTTGTTTTCTGACTATAGTGGTCAGGAGGGACAAGGAAACCTCTGAGCAGCTGTGCTAGCTCTGGTGCTGCCCCCTGCCCACCCTCTCCCCTTTATCTAATCAGTCTTATCTAATGGTAAAGAAATCAGCCTTGGCTGCACACCCAGAAGAACAGAACAGAGATAAGGGGCAATGCTCACCATCCAGCCTGTCACCCATCATACTGACCTCCAGCCACAGCCTGGCCAGGTGCAGGCAAAGGGCTTCTCGCCTGTGTGCCGTCGCAGGTGGGCCTTGAGGTGGCTGCTTTTGGTGTACATCTTGCTGCAGCCGGGGAAAGTACATTTGTGCATTTTGATGAGTTCCGCTGCAGGGTTCTTGGGGAACTTCTGGCCCATGAGGAGGCCGGTGGGGCCAGGCCCCAGGGGTCCTGACCCAATGGGCTTGGCAGCAATGGGCACAGGGGCAATGCGCACGAACTTGGAGGGCACATTCAAGTTCGAGGAGGGCACCACCTGGGGCAGGAGTGCAAAGGTCTGCCCCTGGATGTTGACCAAGAGCTGGGCTACTTTGACACTCTCCGGAGCCTGCCCAGGGGAGGAGGGCTCTGTGCCTGATTCCTGCTTCACCTGCACAGGCTGAATCTGCAGCAGCAAGGGAATAGGGCCATCAGGTGCAGGCCCCCCGCCTGGGCCCTGAGTGTCACCCGCACTGGCACCACCTGGTTGGGGAGCACAGCGTTCTCTCCCACCAGACCCAGGATGGAGGTGGCTCCTGTGTGGCCCAGCTGAGAGCTGACTACAGGCCTCCAAGTCCTTGTTGTTGCTCTCTGGAGCCTCCTTGACTCCCAGCTCCATGTTCTCCTCCAGAAACTCTTCAATCTCCTCCAGGGTGGGCTGGAAGGGCCTTGGAACATCATCAGGATCACCCACAGGAAACTCCGGGAAGCAGAAATGCTCCCCCTTCACAGGTGCCGGTGCCCTCCGCCAGGCCTCCCATGTCACAGGACCACTGCTGGCCCCGATGCTGCCGCTGCCACCACTGCCCAGCGTAGCCTGGGATAGCAGGAAGTCCAAGATGTTGTCCTGGCCCTCAGCACCCGAGCCACTGCTATAGCAGGAGCAGAGGGCTTGTGAGTCTGGGCTGGCACAGGAGCAAAGGCTGGAGGCGTCACTGTCATCTTCCGAAAGGGGCGAGGGCAGCATGTGGTACGCCCGCCCACCTACCAGCCTGTCTCCCAGATATCCAACCTGGCACTTCGGCGACGAGAAGTTCTCGTCAACTGGAAGCAAGTGGTCCACCATGCTGGCCTGGCCGTGCCACTGCTGGCTGTGGAGAAAAACAACAGAGGGCAGATCAGGACAACAGAACACTCACCGGCCACCTCATGGGCTTGTGCCCCCCTCCCCCCACCACGACCTGCCCAGAGTCTCCCATTGCCAAATGCCTGGATCTTGCTTCCATCCATACCCCAGGACAACTCTCTGCAAGAGTGTTTTCTGAAATTGCACCACCTGTTTGCAAGAGTGCTCTCCCAAGCCCATTGCACAACCTGGGGCACTTTTGCTTTCAAACAGATTTTCCGGAACAATTCTGGGAAAGGACACATATGCGTCTGTGAATGATTGAGTGTGAGTGTGAGCAAGAAAGCGGGTATGTAAGGAGGCTCTCTGCACCTCAAAACAGCCAAGGTCAGGAACCCCATCCAGTTATTCAGAGTTGCTGCATTTCTGAGGACACCTGACCTCATCTTCATTCCTGTTGACTCACTGGAGTGGGGAACAACGGTCATTTGCTCTTTGACCTTTGTGTTGTTGGGGCTTTGGTAGGGTTGCCAGGTTGAGCAAATAAAAATACAGGCTGCCCAGTTAAATTTCAGATTTTAAAAAATGAACAACTTTTAATTTTTAATGTAAGTATGTCCCAAATATTAGATGGGACTTGCTTATATCAAAAAAATTACTATATCTGAAATTCAAATTTAACTGGACAGTCAATCTTTTAATTAGGCAAGTCTAGCTTGCCGCAAAAAATTAAAGACCCATTACACCTGCCTTTCCACATCTGAAGCAGGCAGCTCATCCACCCTCCAGCTCTCAAACCCCTTTGAGCTTGGCTGCCTCCTCTGTGAAAGGAGAGAGAAGGAACAGGCCTGAAAAAACAGACGTTTTAGTGAGGTTCTACCACCAGGAGGACAAATCTCTGCCCACTGGGAGAACTCACAGGAGCAGAGGTGGACCCAAAGTGCTGGGACAGATCTTACCTCATGTGACTTCACAACCGCCTAGTTGGGCCTGTAGAGAAGACCCCCTTGGCCTGCACCCATGGAGCACTCACAACCTCGGGAAGACCCAGCCAACTCCTGTCTCCCAACTAGACCATGTTCTCCATGACAGCTGGCTTGGCTGTAGGGTGTCCTCTGCATCCCCAGTTCCCAGTGTGGCAGCTGGTGCCCAAGAAGAGCTCAGAGAATGTCATCAGAGAGTAGTGGGGAAAGCTGCGTCCTCTGAAGGCCATGCTAGGTCTGGTGTCCAAGACGAGTCAACAGTGTCAGGCTGTGATGGAGTCACCTCTGTGGACCTTTGTCCCCACCCAGTGACCATGAGTGGATGTTTGTTGAGGTTGGGGATATTCTGCACCTGAAGCCAGAGATTCTCTCCTGCCTGGCATCACCTCTGCACCCACCCCCATGCTGTCTCCAGGAACACAACTGGTCCTGGCACCCAGCACCACTCAACAGTCAAGATGCCCAGCCCCAGGCAGAGAGCTCCCAGTTGTGACCTTGGGCAAGTCCTGGCTTTCCCCAAATCTCAGTTTCCCCATCTGTTCTATGTCCCCAATGACCTCAAGACTTTTGATCTCAGATCCATACTGATCTGGGAAGCTTAAGAGCTCAACAAGACAAGGTAGATGCCCTTGGCGAGTCTGTACTCCTGGGCAGTTTTGCCAGGACATTTGGCTTCTGGTTGAAATACTCAGTTAAGGACTTAAAATTGGGCATTTTAAAATACACACTATTCTCACCAAATCAGGTGCTAAGAAGGAATAAAAGTGCCAGATAATGTAAAGGGTAACCAGGCTGGGCAGAAACTCACACTTAGCCCTACGCCTCCCTCACCTGTCACCCACCCTTTGAGCAGGGGGCTATGCTCAACCTCTGCAACATATCAGCTGGGTGAATGATCTTGGGCAGGTGGCACAATGTCTCTGTGTCTGTCTTGGTCTATTGGGTGGGGATGCTGCCAACAGTGCCTAGTTCCTAGGTTCTTTTAAGAGTCCAAAGCTAACATATGCTGAGCACTTACTATAGGGCTGACATGCATTCAGGGATGGTCAGTACCAGCCATTAGGATTAGCCTCCAAATGGGAGAACATAACGGTCTTTCTGCCCCTCTGCTGTGATGTTGAATCCAGGGAACTCCAGCCTTCCTGGAACCTGGGACGAGGCCATTTGCTGGTGGGAAGCAGCAAATTAGACCATGTTTCTGCCCACTAAACTCTCCCCTAAAATGTGACCACCAACTGAATATTCCATAATATCGAGGAATTACTCTTGATATTTTTAAGTGTGATGATGGTACTGTGGGTGGTACATTCTTTTTAAAGGAGGCCTTCCTCTTCCACATATAAACTGAGATAGTCACAGATAAAATTATATAAAAAGAGTGAGGGAAAAAAGTAAGTACAGTAGGGTAGGGTGGGAGGAAACCTCCAATAGTTTCCCAAGGAGATGTGACCCAGCCTCCTTTCAGCACACAGCACCTGGGCTCTGCTCATCTCTCACATGTCTCACTCACCTCCACCTGTTCCATTCCACACTAGCTGTGTACCAAGCTCACCAGCATCATGGGCCTCTGGCTACTACCCTGGCTGCCCCCTCTCTGGGGATCCCTCTTCCCCCAGCACTCGAAGTAGGAGTAACATTTCAATCTCAGCTCAGAAGTCACTTCTGGTAGGGGCCTCCCCTGACCATTCTCTATTACATCATCCCACCTTATATTCTTCCTAGCAGTTGCCAAGGCCAGAAACTATCTTAGTTATGTGTTTGTGTACTTTATTTTCTCTCTACCTCCCCACCAGAATATAAGCTGTTCTGACTGTCCCGTCCACGTCTATATTCCAGAGTCTAAAACAGGACCTGGCAAACTTTGCTGATGGAGTGAAAGGCTGCTGTTGTGGAGAGCCAAAAAGGAAGGGGAGGGTGGGGTCTGGGGGTAGAACGAGACCTGCTGTAGAATGGCAAGGGTTGAGCAGCAGTGTAATAATGCAGGGCTGAGTGGCCTGGGCTTGATGCTGAGGCACTCAGAGCCTAGAAGGGGCTCTGGAACTGCCCGAGGCGATGGCGTTACAGAGAGGGCAGCCAGGGCTGAGCCGGCTTAGGCCCCTAAAACACAGCAGCACGTGGCACGGCCAGGGGCACAGGCTTCGCGCAGGGGGAGGGGACACACTGTTCCCGGCACCATCCCCAGCAGTCCACGGGACTCCGCCCCCTCC